TCGAATCAGAAACCAGGATGGCTTCTGTGAATCTGGGACTATCCCTGGAAAATAGGGACACTTGGAGGGTCTGTGAGGAATTGGGAAGTTAACATGGACACCTTGTTGGGGATCTACTTAATCACACCTAATCTCTGGCTTCTCAGAGAACCAGAATTTCACAATCAAACACAGACACTTACTTGTAAATTGTCGTACTTCACAGTACGAAACCCCTCATCAGAAATCTAAACTTTGTATATGAGAAAACTCAGTCAAAATGCTTCATTCACTCAAACACACACACACATACAGCAAGAATGGCACGCAGCTTTATGAATGTGATGAAATCTACAACTGCTTTTAATGTTTGGGACACAGCATTCAGAGAAAACTGTATGATGCAAAGGGATTTGTTTTAATAGGCCAAGCGTACATCTTGCCCTACTTTATAATATAAAACAAAATTACTGATGGGTTGGGTATGTGTAGTAGAGTGACTCACTGTTCGAAGGAAAACAGAGGTTTGGCTTCCTTCCACTTGGCCCTGCCTCTTCATTCATGTTGGTGGTTGGCTGGTTGGTTGGTTTTGGTGGGGATGGATTCTGCATTTTAAAGAAAAATTACTATACTATATTATGCAGCTACCGGCAGAGAGATCAGCACAGAGCCTAAAACTGTGGGAGATTAGCAGCCAAACCTAACAAATGCTAGTTAGCATGACAAGGGGCTAGACCATAGAAATACAGTTGGTAGAGAGGGCTCTGTGTGATGTCACTTCCCTTCCTCTCCTGGAAGGAGCATATAGTACTTCCTGTTCTTCTCTCTTTGAAACTGTTCAACCCACACACAGGGGCATCTGGAGGGTTCAATTGCAATTAATATATCCTCTCCTACTCATTAAAGCATATCTCACAAAAACAGAGACCAGAGAATGTCCCTAATAGACTAGTATGTTATAACAAAAAGAGTGCTGCAGTTAGACCTGAGTTCAAGTTCTGTATTAAGCCATGAAGCTCTCTAGGTGACATTGGGTCAAGCGCTATCTCTCATAGGGTAACTCTAATGATAACATGGTGGGTATCATAAATGCCTTTTTTGAGAAGAGATGGGATTCGGCTGAGATGAGAAAGCTAAATAGCAATCTCTTCAGCGATGATTAATTAGTCAATTGCTATCATTATTACCGGTTCACATATATTTATTAAAAACTATAATAAAATACAACCTTGCAGATGGAAGTTATATTTTCCATTTTGCTTATGGGGACAGAGACCAAAACTTAGAAACTTACCCAGGATAGCTGTTGAGTGAATTCTTAGCTGATCAAGCCTCAATCAGATCCAGTCATAAGGCAATTTGATGCACTGGCTATCACACCAATAAAATGTAATCTGATTCTCCTTATAACCTTCACATCAAGGATCTTGATTTAGAATATTTACATTGCTCTTCCATTACAGTACAGGCTTGCTCAGTTTGCAAGGCAGGTTTTGAAAAGTATCAATAAAATGACTAGCCACACCAAATGTCAAAAATTTCCAAAATGTCTTTGCGAATGCTATATGGAAAAAATTCAACTACTGTACAATAAACTTTTATTGGCAAGAACTCACCTTAGATTAAATACTAAATTATTTTAAATATTTTACATATGCTCTATAAATATAAAACTAGACTTGGCAGAATCTCAAGGAGGATTGTGCCCTTAAATCTGTAAATTAAAATTTGAGCCTCCTGTCCCACATGTATGGGAGAAATATGAGAGTAAACAGATTGTGAAACCCTTTCAGCAGAGTCAAAACACTTATGCATTTTTACATCTTACTGGAAGCTTGGAATTGGGCAATCATACATTTTTATACCTGTTTATTTGAGGTCTGCTGACCTTCCCCTCTTTTTTCCCATTGCTAAGAATGAACCACACATTTTAGTTTATTTTTTAAAAATGTTTACTTACATTTTGATGCAGGCAGCAAATACATCAAAGTAGTATACAGGTAAAAATACTTCTTAGTTTTAAAATGCAAAATTAGTCTCTGAAGTGGAGTCTGGGTTCTGAGCAGAGCCAGGCTTGTACGTCAGCTCACATCACTGTCTTAAAAATAAGATAATGACTGAAGCAAAGAGGAAGGAGAAAAGGTTAAGATCCTTCATTCCATTTTCCACTACAGGAAGTAGGGGATATGAATACTGGAATACAGGAACTCTGAGAGTCTTAACCCCTTCACATACTTATTTAGCAAACATAATTGTCATATTGACTGCAGATTTTTCCCACAAAAACATCATGCAACAAGAGTATGGAAGAGATGCTTTCAAACTACGGGGAGCATTCTCATGAGCTTTATGAAGGCAATTGGAATTTATAGCATTTACAGTATTTATTTATCCTGTTGTTATATAAATATCATTTTTAAATGTTGTGTAACAGGAAAGGATCCAGAACCACTTTGTCTAAGAAAAGTGGGGTATTAATATATATAAATAAAGGAACCATTTCAAACACCATGGTGTATATTCTTAACCTTATGTGTGAATCAGCATCCAAAGGTCAATTTGTATTGTAAGGTCCAATGTGTTTCAAATGCAAAATGCACATTTTAGGATTCAAAACTTGACCTTGAGTTGGTGATTTGCCAAAACTGCACACATGGCTGTACGCATTTTATCAGCTGTTTGTACAGTTTTTCATTATCAATATGCAGGAAGTCTAGCTCAACAGCAGTGTAGCAAAATATCATGTACGTTTGTAGAGTCATAGGGTTGGAAGGGACCTCAGAAGTTGCCCAGTCCAACCCCTTTAGGTGTAGGAAATATATGACTACAGTGTCCCTGCACCTATTAGATGGCCATCCATTTAAAACAACAACAAGGAGGCACCTGGTCTGAGAATCAGTTCTGTTTGACTCAAACACTTGTTTCCAGTATATTACACACTTGCTATTTCAAATAATGTGTTCCACATTAATCTGGTATTTCTTTATCTGTAAATATATTTCTGTTTTAATTTAAGGGAACTAACAACGTTCTTTGATTATTGCAACAGAGTGCATGGCACTTCTTCTTCCAGATGCCTAAAATCTGAATGACAGGTGTTTTTCACTTGCCTCACCTAAAATGAAGATAATCTGGAAGAAGTGTTTAGAGAAAAGAAAGATGATGATTTACATTGTTCTGTTTACCAGCTTTGTTCCTGGCTATTAAGTATCACCTTAATTTGTAAAGCAGAGATTGGGATCCTGAGGCCCTTCAAATGTTTGATGAACTACAACTCCCATAATCTCTAACCGGTGGCCATGATGGCTGGGGCTGATGAGAGTTGGAGTACAACCACATGTTGTACCAGGAGGTAGCATGTCCCCTGCCTCTGACCTAAACCACTTACACAATTTTCTTCACCTTAAATGGATGGTCCCAAAGACCATTGGTCCAAAGGTTGTGTGGTCTTTACATCCCTCAAGGGGCATCTCACAACTCTGCTAGTTTTGCCTGCAGGCGTGGCTAGTGGCACACAGAAGGACCAAACTAGCAGTGCAGTGGTCCCTGTCTAGCCATTTATTCTCTCTGGCAGGTTAGCTCATTGGTCCTATAAATCACAAAAGGCAGATCCTAAACAGAAATTGAAAGCTGAGGTCTTTCCCCGAACAATCAGGTATCTCCACCCACTTCCTACAGAAAACGCAGATCTTCCCAGCAAACCCTGATATCTCCAAATGCTATGAAGTTTTCCAATGTCCAAGTCCATAGGATTCCTTTATGCGGTTATTAATTTAAACCCTCAGGTGCTTTGGCGATCCCAAATCCATAGCCCCCTGAAAAGATATTCTTTTATTTCCGTAGAATCGTATAGAACCAACACCTCGGTTCATATTTTATTTTTACTGCCTCGCCCTCCCCCCTTTTCTACTTACAGCGTTTAGCTTCCCAGTGGTTAAAAAAATAAATAAACCCTCAGCTTCACAAGCACAAGGCGATTTCCACTTCTAGACGTTCTCTGAGTCCCAGTCCAAATCTGATTCTCCTTCAACTCGAAGCACTGTAGCTCCCTGCTGAAAACAAAACACCCGCGTTTCTCAACTGCTCCAAAGAACTTTGATAAAAGACAGCAAGCTCTTTATGATGGGGGAAATGATCTCATATGCAATCTGAAGCAGCGCGTTTCGCATACGATTCCGCGAAGGAGAACAGCTCCCTTCTAAAAGAAAATCCCCTCGCGATCATAATAAATCTGAATCTAATCCGTATAACTCCGCTTAAACCCGTGACGGGGAGAGAAATCGATTTCTATCCATAGCCTTTCGCCGTTTGCCGGCTTGAGGAGCGGACGACGCGTAATTGCGCGGAGAGCCACCGGCTCAAGACGCAATGCGAAGCCCTCATACTCTCAGCCGGAGTTTCACTCTGGGCAGCGCGAGAGCGGAAAGGGGGCACGTGGGGCGATCTTTGGAAATCGACCGGATAACTTGACAGCTTTGGCAGGCAACGGACTTCTTCTTTCGAGGAATGAAGCCAGGGGACTGTGGAGGCGGGTAGCTAGGCATCCCCCCCCCCCGCTTTGTAAATAGGTCGAAAAACTAGTTCAACAAGGTGAAAATATTTCATGCAGACTTTATGAAGGCGACTGTCGCTTCCTTGCAGAGTCCAAAATTGGCCAATACGATGCTAAAGTAACCCACTTCTTTGAGAGCCCTGTTGAAAGTGAGGGAGGATCCCTTATGGCTAAGATCACGGTGGTGTTGGAAAACCCTGCGGGGGCGTCGCTATCAGCCCCCAAGAACACAGCTCTTAATATAGCAGGCAAAGCAAACCGGAATTCAAACTAGACACAGATTTATTATCCCCTAATCTCCCTGTAGGGCTGACTGTACTCTGTGCATGTTCAGTGATACATTCTTTCGACCTCACATGTTCCCAGGACTTCGCCCTGAGCTTCATCGTGGGCGCAGCATCTTAGGGACGAAGCTGTCGCTCGGAGGAACTCTAAGGAGGAGGCGGGGCGGCGGCGAGGGAAGAGAAAATCAGCTCCAAGAATCAGCCCGCGCGGAGCGGGAAGAGGATCCGCCGCAGCGCGTGTTAAGCTCATCCAGATCGGGCCACGTGGCACCTTGCGCCTGCGCAAAGGAATCCAGGCTACCTCGAATCGCTGACTTTCTGTAGCTGCCCTTGTTGCAGGATCTGCGAACAAAGACCTGAGTCACGGCGAGCTCCGGGCGAATCTGGCGCAGCCGGTCGGCCGCTGCAGCCTTGGCGATGCTCCTGCGCGTGCTACTCCTCGTGCCCGGCAAGGCCTCGCTAGCTCTGCGGATGATCAGAGGCTGCTCGGGTTTCTGCGCCTTTCCGAGTTCCTGCTGAAGGAGGGGGAAGGGCCGGGCTGCTGGAAGACCCCGCGCCCGCTAAACCGGATTCAGTCGTTCCCAATGGCCCAGCCGCTGCGGGGACAAGAGATAGTTGCAGCAGCAAGGAAGACCTTTCAGAGATCTCTCGTTTTCCTTCTGCAGTGTCATTTAATAAATAATAATTTAATAAATACTCATATAACCGGTGGGGAAAGGGATCCCTCGACGTCCTTAGCCCGAGGAAAATGACGTCGAACTGGCGGCCAAGCAAGAGCCCGTTTTACACTCTCAGGTCGCCGATGAGCGCTCGGCTTCGATTATGTTGCCACGCCACGTGTCTAGAAGATTGTGTTGGCCCGATCCTAACCTTATTGAGTCAAAAGGAAGGTCCCACTGATGTACCCCTGTGGTTTACTTTAAGAGTATCCTTAAGAACCTATGCGTGTTTCCAGTGTGCCCAGTGAGACTGGCTTCTATGTAACAGTGCCTATAGGATGAATCATCGCAGCCTTAGGATCACCGCAGCCTTCCTCTAGTCGAGCAGCCATAGATAGTCCCATCGATAATAGGTCTCATTGCGGGCTGCGATCCTATACTCTCCTACTGGGGAATAAGTGCCCCTGAACGTGGTGGACCTGACTTCCGAGTAAGCAGGTACAAGCATCTGCTGTATCGGTAACTGATGATCTGGTAATTTGCAAGTCAACTGCGTTTAAAGTCATACTTCCTTGGTTAAGAGCGCGCCACTAAGATGTTCTGTTTAGAGAGCTGGGCTGCAACTGCTTCAAAAAACCCACTCGGGCATGTAGTTCTCAGGGTCGCTTCGTGCCAGTCCTTCGCTCTCAGCCTAACCTACCGCCACAGGATTGTTAAGAGGGGAAAACGAAGAAGGTACCGTCGTGTGCGGCTCCCGGAGGCCCTTGGAGGAGCAGCGGCATATAAGTAAATAAGCAAGAGCCGAGAAACCCTTTAGTGAAGAAGCGCGTCCCTCAGCCCGGTTCCTTGGATGGCCATACAGAAACCCATGGCATTTGCTTCCTAGGAAACATGGCTCGGAGGATGGGGGAGGTCATCTCTTCCTCCTCACCCTGAATGAATGAGTCTTTCTTTCTCTCTGTTCCCCAAAAGGAAGCAAGTGAATGGTCAAATATCACCCAGTGGATTTGAGCATAAGGTCTTGGAAAACATACAGTAGAAGGTTGAAGAATCTGAGCCTCTGAAACAAAGGAACTGAGACTGCGGCAACTGGAATCGTTTGCGCATGCAATTTCAGCTTAACTTTAACCGGTCCGAGTGGATGGTGGTTGCTCATCAATCCCCTTGGGAGGTCGAGCGCGTTTCCTTTCCCCCAGAAGTCTGAAATCCCCACCGCCGAGACGTCTCTCGAGATAGAAAAAGCGACACTGTAAAGGAAGTCAGAATCGCCTCTTTCCACATTTAGCTGCGAGCTAAATCCCCCTGGAATTCACTGGGGATGACTTCTCACGAGACGTGTATAGGATGGCGCTGCACTCAGAAGTGGTCTTGTCAAGCCGTGTTTCTGTGTCTTGCCTGAGGTTCGAGGACCGCGTTTCTAGCCCTCCTCCGTTTCCCCGAAGTTCTGGGTGGGAAGAGGAATGGAGAAAAACTGGCTGAATTCAGCGCAGTGTATCTCCAAGCCAGATATTTAGGATTGGGGGGGGGGGACTCCGCTTTTTAGACGCTGCCGATCCGTGTGGATCGGAAACAGTACCGGCGCTGGACCTTCCGGCAGCACCTTGTCACGTCCACCTGGAAAGGGATGGCCGCAGATCCAACAGAAGCATCAGGAATGGACAGAGAAGCAAATGGCCGGAGGAAGGGGCTTGGGGGAAATGGAGGCCTTGGGGAGCCTGCCTTGGTACCGTTTCGCCCGCAGCCCAGCCCAGCCTCGCCGTCGTCACGCAAGGGGATCCCGCACCTGCATTGCAACACTACGGACCTCCTTCCCTGTTTGCCTCTGTGCTGGCAACACCCTGCAATGCAGCATTGCAAAACGCCCCTTTCTCTCTTTCTGTTCCTCTTTCTGCTGAAATAATGAAGGCGCCACCCTGCTCCCCAATCAATCCGAAAACCAGGCTTGCAGTTTCGTGTCGCCAGTCTCCCCACTCCACCCCACCCCTCCAACACACACACACACACACACACACACACACACACACTTTCCCCTCCTCCCCCCACACCAGATTTCTGCCTGCTGTAGCGGAATTATCGGATCTCTTGCGCGCGCCCTCTCCCTGGAGGCGACGCGCCCCTTTTGGACTAGCTAAGGGATGCCTGGCCATATTCAAACCAGCCCCCGGGCGGCGGCGGGGTGGGGTGGGGTTGGGTGGGAGAGTGGGAGAGTGGGAAGGAGGAGGGGAGCGAGAGAAAGAGCCTTCCCCGCGTGTTCTTAGCGCACCCACGCATGGATTTCCAAATCACCCTGCCCCGCGTGGGAAGGGCATCCAAGGATCACGGAGTTTAAAAATGGGGATCTGGCAGGGTTGGTGTTGGCATCGGTAATACAGCACGGTCGTGCCAAGGCATGCAACCAATATGTAGCAAAAATTAAATAAATAACCCTGGGCACTTGTGCGGCCGCACATGAGAAGCTGTTGGACTGGTTTGGAGAGGCAAAACAAACACGGTGCAGTAGGGAATTCGGTTGCGAGACATCCTGCTCTGAAGGGTTTCTGTGGGAGAGCTGCCCGCCTCCTATCATTCTCTGCCGAGCGCCTAGTTGGGCCTCAGTAGCCCCGCCAGAGAAGTCCGATGGGTTTGTGTCTCAGGGTGACAAAGGTCTCCGAAGGGTCCCTCTCGCCCAGTTCCTTCCCATCCGCCCACAGCCTCATGTGCCATAATGGCTGCGATGGAGACGTGTCTCTCTGTGTATATATACACATATATACATACAACAGAAAATATATATATACACGCACACATATATACAACATACACACATACGCATATACACAACAGAAGTCTAGATACGCATATAGACAACAGAAGGCTTTGGTGAGCATATTTGAGAAGAAGCTAAGCCAAGGCTAAGCGTTGCTTTGGACTCTCCGGAGGGGTCGGATAACCGAAGCCAAGACCACCACTCTCACTCATTTCCGTGGTGCAATATTGCAGGCTTCCAAAGGGGAGAAGCGGGTGCACACCCCGTTGGAACTGTCACCCTGTTCGCAAGCCGAGCCTGAGCTACTGCGGCTGCCCTTGGCGGCGTTCAAACTCTCCCGTTTCTGCGCTGGCAACGGGTGGCATCCTGGCCCTCAGGCCCGAGGAGCTGAGTAGCAGGTGACTTGTTGGAGAGACCAGGAAGAACTGGCTAGAATCCGGGGAGAAGTTGCAGCTGGGAAATTCTCCGTGGTTTTGGGTTGTCACATCCACGCGGCACACATCCAAAGCAGTCTTATACCGCTGGAACAGCCATGGACAATCCTGGGAACTGCAGTTTGTTAAGGGTGCTGGGAATAAAAGCTCTGCGAGGTCAGCACCCAGAATTCTTTGGGGGAAAGCTATGACTGTTCGAGAGCTATAAGGGTACTTTAAATATACAGTGGTACCTCGGGTTAAGTACTTAATTCGTTCCAGATGTCCGTTCTTAACCTGAAACTGTTCTTAACCTGAAGCACCATTTTAGCTAAAGGGGCCTCCTGCTGCCGCCGCTGCGCCGCCGGAACACGATTTCTATTCTCATCCTGAAGCAAATTTCTGAACCCGAGGCACTATTTCTGGGTGAGCGGAGTCTGTAACCTGAAGCGTCTGTAACCCGAGGTACCACTGTACCTCAGTGGATGCTGAGAATTTCCAAGAAGGCTGTAGGGGCTCGCCCCTTCCATCCTCTCCACCCCATAGTCCCGTCGGCCTTGGTGGCTGTGGGTGCAGAAACAGAGTCAGCAGTGATTCGGGATTAAAGAATCCGAAGCAAACGCGTGGGGTGGGCTTATATTTGTGGGGGGTTGTCGGGAGAGTCGGGTGGAGGCTGAAGCCAGGGACCCTGGCCTGACCCCGTTTGTTGTTATGCGGAGCCCCCAAAGTGGAGGGGGGACACTCTAGATTCGCACTGGAGAAGACCAGGGGACCCCGCTCAGCGGGGCTGAGTGTGCGGAGGTCCGAGCCTGTTGCTTCTCCATTCATTATTTCCACCCCTCGCCGCCGCCGCATGAGGACCAGTGGGGTGACAGCAGGGAAAGCAGTCTGGCTGTGGGGTGCCTCTCTCTTCCCCAGCAGCCGCGAAGGATCCATGTGGCCAGCCATCTCTCTCTCTCTATCTCTACTTTAGGGAAAAGCTGGCGAAGTACAAAATGGCGGGGCAAGGGGTGGGCAGAGGCACATAAAGCCCTTTTCCCTGCGCCGCTCCGGCTCGCCGAAACCCACCACGCCTGGCAGCAGCAGCCCCTGCCTCTTCTGCCGCAGGATCGCCCCCCCTCGAAGCTCCTGCGCCCCCCCCCCCCGCTCCGTCTCCTCTTTCTCCAACGTGATCCAATCCTAAAGGCAGAAAAACGTCAGAAAATGGCTGCCTAGACTCGGTTTTCTTTTTTCCAGAAGAGCGATCCGAGCTGGGCTCTTGCTCCTTCGTTGCCCCGATCCCCACCAGCCTCTCCTCCTTCCCAGCTGTTTCTGAAACCTGGAAGAGGAGAACCCTCCCGCCTCCCCACCCGACCCCCTGCTCAGTCTCTGGACAGCAAGACTTTGAAGGAGGCGGCTCTGGTGCGTGGCAGAAGCAAGCGTGCCTTCTACCGCCTTGCAGTTAGTGCCCCGAGGGATCCACCAGGTCACCTCTCCGGGATTGCCCTAGACCCGGAGCACAGCTTGGGCCAGAGCCGCAGCAAACGCCCAAGTAGCCTGACCTCCCCGGGCGTCCGACAGACGGCACATGTCTTGGCGCAGGTCTTGAACCTGCCTCAGGGCTGGGAGAGACCGAGAAGGAGTCAGGGCCGGCGGGTGGTCCTTCTCAGCTGGTTCATTCATTTGATGCAAGAAAGGGAGCGGGGCAGAGCGATCCTAAGCCTCTGCGCTGGGTCCCACTGCGGTCCATGGGGCTTATTTCCTCGCGGGTATGTTCAGCACTGCACCTTAGCTGCATACTGACCATCCTGTTGCCCACCCCTCACCCACAACTGGGGTGACTGATCCTTCCCCCGCCCCCATAATAAATACCCTCCGATTAAGGAGTCTAGTCTGTAAGCAATAGGAAAAGTACTCCAAGAGGCGGAACATTGTAGATTAATTAACTCGGCGTGGGGGGGGGGGGGAAGAGTGTAATTTTGTGAATTTGTGGTATGATGTGCAGAGGTGCGAAACTGTCCGAGTTGCCGGTGATCGGATGAGAGAACAAATGTCTACTTTTGCAAAATATCTGCTTGGACCTTGGATTGCCACCAGCGAAAAGGCAACGAAACTTCGGTTCCTGCGTTCTCAACCTGTCTAAACGCAGGTATAATATAGGAATCCGAATCCGCTGACAAAACTGCAAAACCAAGCTGGGAGTAGTGCCATTTCGGAGCACGTCTTCAGGGCTGGGAGCTGGCTTCGAAGAAATCCTTCTAGCTTTGGGGAAGTCGCCGCCTCTTAGCCTCACTCAGTTGGCTCTCGTCTGTGAATCGCGAGTAGAAGTGGTGTCCTACCTCACCGGGGTGCGGCGGGGAAGAAGGGGTTTCACCCCGATCCGATTATTTTTCTTTTTTTAAGGGGGTGGATGGGAGTAAATCCCACGATTGAACTAGGGCGTGTGAAACATCGAAAGCACGAGGGCTGCTATCCTGCGCACACTTCCTTGGAAGTGAAACTATGGAAAGAAAGGAGAGGCTTCAGAGCAAACGCGGTTAGGGCTGTAAAAGTGGCATGGTATATGCAGCCATATACCCAGACTCCCCCCCCCCCCGCTTCCCTTCGAGGAGTGGGTGTATATATTATAATCGTATCTCCAGACAGAAACCAAATAAACCCTCGAAAGCCTTTTTAGGCACTGGTATTTCACCCGGGATTAAACAGGTCAAGAGGAGGAGACCGACACCGGGGGGTTTCTCGCGAGGCGCGTCGGGCTTCGGCTACAGGCGCTGATGTCAAGGGTCTAAAAAGAGGCGAGCGCCAGATCGCCAGCCGTATAAGGAAGCGCGTTGAAGCTGGCGAAGGGAGCCGCCATGGCGGGCGGGCGCGGGAGAGAGAGAGAGCGTGCGGATGCAGCCGCTGCGGGATCGGCCCTGGCGAGGTTGGCAGAGCTCGGAACACGCCTCTCGCGGCCGGGCAGGAGCACGTGGAGGGCGGAAGCAACGTGCCAATGCATGCCAAGGGAGTGCAGACACCGAAGCAGAAGGCAAACATCGAATGCCCGTAGTTTGGATACTTTGGCAAGGTGTGGGATCTGCTTCGTCCACGTCAAGTGTCTCTTTCTCACGTTCACACACGCGCGCGCGCCGCAGCCGGCAATTCCAAACACACTGAGCTCGCGAACAAGGCGTCTTTTCGTGTCGCGTGTGCGCAGGTGGCACGATCCTCACAGCATGCGTGTTAGTCTAAGGGAAGCTTGCCGGGTTTTGCTCCCTGGCAAGTGGGGAAAGGGCTGCAGCGTGCAGTTCAGACTGGCCATTTGCAAAGCGCCGGAATAGTTTTTCCGACGTCTCCCTGAAACTTACAACTCCAGGGGAAGCGGCGAGTGAATTGCAGCGTCTGCATCTCTGGTTCCTAGCTGAAAACCCTAAATCTCCACAGCCTTTAGCTCAGATTCTAAATCCTGAAATCAATGAAGTTTCAAAAAAAATGTGTCCTGGGTGACGTTTCACGGTAGGCAGGCAAGCAGATAGATAACTGTGAATGGGGCGGGAGAGAGAAAATAGCGCCAAACGGTTGCAGCCGGGACCAGCGTCTATTTTGGTAACCCTTGTCTCTGTCTGCTTGCGTTTTAGTTTGGGGCGATATTGTAAGCGAATTTTTCAAACTGAATCCGACCTTCACAATGAACTTCATATGGACATCAGCAAGAACTGAACTCCAGTTATTGCTGATTTCAATATGAAGGCCAAAACCAAGGTCAGGCGCAGAAGGAAGATCTACCTACGGCCTCTTTTGTTTTAACTGCTTTGTCTGTACTTTTTGGAGAAGCGTAGACCTTTACGGGGGGTGGGGTTCACTTTGGAGACAAGAACGTGAGCCAAAGAAATAAAGAAATAGTATCGGAAGCTGGTAGTGCTAAGGCAGCGTCTCTCTAAGGTTTCAGATAGGCATCCCGGGGACTGAATAGCAGCTCTTTTGCGTGGAAACCAGGTAGATACGTAGCGCTGAGCTACGGGCCTTCCCTTAGAATTCATTCCATTGCGGATTTTCGGGCGCTCCTTGCACGAAACAGCAAATGTTCTGAAATGAGGCGTGTTTCCTAGGGATCCTGCACTTCCGACAAAGGATTAGGATAGCTTGAGGGAGGTCTCAACCTTTCTCTCTCGCTTGGTCGGCGACAATCCACGTCAGCGACAATCTACGGCTGACATTAGACACGGATGCCATTGCCGGCGACAGCTTTTGCCGGGCGAGTTCTCCAGTTGCCATCACATCTTCACGGGCACCTTCAAAACGCTGCCTGTCCGCGCACTTTAGGGGAAGGAAGCCAGCCGTTTCTTTCTCTCCCCACAGGGAGAGTCTTTTATTGGCGAGGCGCCTTGCGGTGGCCAGGCTAAGGGGGGCATCAGAGACTGGATGCCAGGCCAGGGGCTTCACACACAACAAGGGCGTTGGTGGGCCGCCTCTTGCGCTCCTGCCCCAGCGGGGCCGCCCGATCCCTGCGCTCCGGGAAGGCATGCTTCTACTCTCCCCTGCTGCACCTGCTCCCAGGCGCAAGGCCTCAGCTGCGGCTGGCTACCAAGGTGGGCCTGCGAGCGAGCTCTGGGCAGCTGGCACAGCTCGGGGGGCCGGAAGCTCCAGCTTGCAGCCTCCTGAGACGCCTCTAAAAAAACACACACACCAAGGCTTCGTCGTGGCTGGTTCCCTCCGCGCCACAGCAGCGATCTCTGAACCAAGGAGCTGTGTGGGTGGTGCAGAGCCGGCTGCTGAGCGAGGCCAGCTCGGAGCTCCGGGCTGCCAGGCGAGCCGTTTCAATCCCAGCCTGCAAATCTCATGCAGCAGGGTGACCTACATTGTTATGAGCTGCCAGAGAGGAAGCGGCGCCGGGCTCGGAGGCCGGGCTCGGATTGATCGCTCAACAGCAGCAGCAGCAGCGGGCATTGCGGACTCCCTAGTTCTCCCCTACCCCCGAGCAGGCCATAAGCAAGTGGCGAGCTAACGCTGGACGCGATCCCTCGGCCAGTGGAGAGGAGGGAGGTTGAAGAAGACAGTGTCTTCTCGCCCTGGAAACCTATGGGTCTTTCGGAGCCTGAGCGCAATCGAAGGAGGGAGGAGCGGGGCTGCGGGCCCCTTTCTCGCCCCCCACCCCAGAGTCCAGGAGACCTGAGGTGGCACGGGAGAGGTTAACTGGCCCATCTACCACGCTGCCTCTTCCGCAGCCGACGAGCCACTGCGGCGCAAGGGCCCCCATGGTAACCGCAGCAGCCATTTCAGATACAGGCAAAGATGGCAGGAGAGATTCCCTGCTCCTCTGCTGCCACCGAAAAGACAAAAGAGTCTCCTTGTCTCTTAAAACGCTCCCCCGTATTTATTTATTGAACAAGAATGAATCCTCTCCTCTTTCTGCTTTTTTCCCTCTCCTTGTAAAACTGGTTTCCCCTCCAGTCTCTGCACCTCCGCCCATGTTATGTATACCTATCCGCTCCTTCTGCGTCCACAAAATGCCGCGGATCAAATAGGAGCTCAAACTAGGATTTAAGCGCTAGGGCTCTCTCCCCCCCCCCCCCGCCCCAGTTTATTTCGTTTTCCTTCACACGCCTTTAATAGCGCACCTATTCACCTGGACTGGCCAGTGGCCACCTAAATTTCCAAAACGCAGAGGTTGAGGGTGTTGCGCCCTTCGGGAGACGGTGCCCAAGGTCTGCGGATCTCAGCCCTGCGCTCCAGTCCTTGGCTGCCACGTGCTGCTGGATCGAGACTCTTGCCACTTTGTCTCACTGCTGGTAGAGACCACTGCGGTGTCCGCCAGGTCACTAGGGGGAAATAAAGTCTTCCATGTTCCTCAATGTTCCCTTTCATTTCAAGAGAAGAATGTTAAATGGTCTTCTGCAGCAGCAGCATCCCACAAAACGGGCGTCCATGACGCGTAATGCTCCCATGGACTGGATTTTTCTGGCTCCTAGGAATTCCCAGGTCATTCAGAGACAAGCCCAGTCTCAAAAGCATCTGTCCATAAGGCAGCGAGGCCTTCTGTGGCTAGCTAGCCTAAGCAAATTGGATTTGGGAGCTTGGTTAATCCTGTCCTCGGTTGTGGCTCCCTTTAAAAATGAGACGAGCCGAGGCCAAAATCTTACCCTTTCAAATTTTACGGAAGTAGGCCCCTTCTGAATCCACTGGGCTTTGGTTGCTGGTATAAACATGCACAACAGGATTGCGCCACACATTCGTAAAGCTAAGGGTACGCGTGAAAACGTGTGGATGCGCATCCGAGGATGAAAACGCGTGAAAACGTGTGGATGCTCTTCCGAGGAGAGCGCATTTGGGGGCGAACTGGCTTGCACCTGTGCAATGCTGACAACGACCCTTGGCGTAGGAGGGAATGCGCAAATTTCCCCCATTGTCCTTCTGCCCACCTGCCCCCTTCCTCTGCATCTATCAACCCCCGAAATCTCTCTAACCAATGTGAACATCCCTGTGAACATCTTTCTGCTGAACCCATCCATCAAGGCCTGGTATTCATTGGGCCATCCATCACTCAGGCATACTTGTCCATCCGTCATGTACACCTAGATCTATCTGTCTCCCTATCCATCCCTCCCGCCTCTCTCTCTCTCTCTCTCTCTCTCTCACACACACACACACACGAGTCTCTGAGCTCCAAACCCAGCCACTCCAGTAGAAGCCATCTCTTTGCGCAGCTAATTGTAATTATTATTACGCTCTTTCTGACTTACGCAGGCCAGAGAGCTGGGGGTGGGAGAGGGAGAGGGAGCAGAAAAGGAGGGAGGGAGAATTGGTGCTGGTGGAAACCCATTATCTGCTGGGGGCCAAATTGGCAATTTCAGCTGCAAGAAGGCGACATGTCAGAGGAGAAGGAAGGGAGGCGGGCACGGGGCTCCCCTCCCCTCTTTCCCACCATATTTGCCTTTGCTGACTTTGTGGTGGGTTGCGGGAGGGGGGGCAGAGAGGGGATGATAAAAAGAGGGGGGGGAGAAGGAGGGAGGGGAAGGGGAAGGCGCGCGGGGTTAGAATCCTCGGCTCTTTTCCACCACTGAAGCCCGGTTGCCGAGATACGGGCGCACCAATCAGCGCTCAACAGCTCACCCGAGGCTCTCGCGCCGCTTCCTTTTATGGTGCAGCTAGTCTGCAGGGCGCCGCGTTCGTCACCATATAAGGACATGAACCTAAATACAGTATCTACCTTGTTCTCTCTCTCGGCGCTTTCGCCTTCGCCTCCTCCTCCTCCTCCTCCTCCCCCGCCCTGCGCACCGCCCCCCCCCCGCCCTCGCGCGCCCGCTCCCTCTCTCCCTCTCCCGCCCGAGCCCGAGACGAGTTAAAAGGCGATCGATGCCAGAGGCCGGGTGAAGCAGCAGCAGCAGCAGCGCGGTGCCCAGGCAGGAGGGAGGGGCAGGGCTGCAGGGGCTGCAGGAACTGCTGCTGCTGCTGCTGATCGAGACACAGATGTGGTTGCCATATTTCCCCGCCCCCATCTCGCGGGCTAGTATTATTATTATTAAGCGCAGGCTGCTGCAAATCCTCCGCTTGCTTATTAGGGGCGGAATGCAAATGAGCGGGAGATACTTTCGCACGCAGTAATGGCTTTTGTTTAGGCACGGATCCGGGCGCTGCTGCCAAAATGAAGGAAGGAAGGAAGGAAGGAGGGGGGAGGGGCAGGGCTGCAGCTCCTGAGGACTCCCTTGTGCCGCAGTCACCTGAGCACCCCTGGAGGGACCTGCTTGATGGGGGGGGTGGAGAGGAGACGAGGGAATCCCCCCTATCTGAGAAGGAAGTGGTGCTGGCAGAGCTGCCGCTCCCTACCCTGCTGTCAATCAATTTGGGGAGCAGTGTGTAATAATAATAATAATAATAATAATAATAATAATAATAATAATATTTATTCCCTCTGGCTCACCAACGTTGCATGACGTTCAAACGGGGGGGGGGGGGTAGCGGAACACGTACTTGTCCAATCCAAACGGGCATGGGGTGGGCTCCCTCCCCCCCTAACACAGCACGGCCCTCTTGCCTGCCTGGAAGCTCTTTCCTAGCCGTGGCAGATGTCAGTGGAATAGCGGTGGCGGTATAAAGATAATGGGAGGAAAGGCACTCTGTACGTGCTCAGGGGCCCTCTGGTTTTCCCATGGCTTTCTCTTTTTGCTTCGCGTTTCAGATTCGGTGTGTTGTTGGAAACAGATCGGGTGTGTGTGCAAATCCTGGCGACTTCCCTTGCGCGGTTTAAATTAAGGCAGACACTAACGGAGGGCGGGCCTATGGGGCGGCCTGGAAAGGGCTCGTCTCCTAGCCGAGGCGAAGGAGTTGCCGCCGTCACACCTCCTTACAGCTGTCAGATTCCAATTTATACCTCCTCCTCCTCCTCTCTTCTGTTGACGTCAGCGAGCTGATGTGCCACGGATGAGATTGCGGGTGGGGGCTGGGGGGGACTAGCATGCAAATACACGGCGCCCCCCCCTCACAACAGGGCTATTTTACCCTAGCTGAGGAACTAAAGAGGCAAACGTGTGTGTGTGTGTGTGTGTGTGAGAGAGAGAGAGAGAGAGAGAGAGAGAGAGGGAGGGAGAGAGAGAGAGAGAGAGAGAGAGAGAGAGATTATTCTGGGGGGCTTCTCCCTCCCTCCCTCCCTTTCTCTCCCTCCCATCCTGATGAACAACTGGATTTTGCTGGCTCTTTCCAGAACCCGGCGGGGAAGATAAACAACTCCCCGAACACGAATATGGCTCAGTGTGTGTAGCTCAGACAAAATGGATCCGAGAAGAAGACCGGGGAGGTGGTGGGGATGGACGTAGGGCGAGATTCTCTGCCTGTCACGGCAACCTTTCATTGGCTGTCGCGGAGGGGGGGACGGACGGACAGTGTTGCTGCGGAGAGCCGAGCCTGGTTTGCGAGGAACACGCATGTTTGTGTTTCGAGGCAAATTGGGTGGGGGTTGCCGCCGCCGTCCCCGGGAACAAAAGGCGTTTTGTGTGAAACGTCCTTGCAAGGCGGAGAGTGTCAGATAAAGCTGCTCGCTGCCGCAGCCGCCGACACACACACACACACACACACACACACAAAAACACACTCCAGCCCCGCACCGCCTCCGAATGGAGCAATTTTATCTCACAAGGATTTTTCTGTGTGAGTTTGCGGGTCCCAGTGGCTGAAATAGCCTCCTCCTCTCTCCGTGGCGGGAAGGAGAGGAGAACCGGGAGAGGCTGAAACGTGTGTGTGTGTGTGTGTGTGTGTGTAAGGAACTGATGGGTGTCATGTTCTGGGTGGTGTCCGTCAAAGATCGCTCGGCTTCCAGCCCTCTATTTATTTCGGGGGTGGCGGCAGCGGCGGCGCCGGAGTGGCCTTTGCTTTGCGCTTGTGGCTTAGGATGGGGTTCTAAAGACGCTTACTAGGGAGCATGCCCCACTGACCGTAGTGGCACTGATTCCCACAGGATGGCGTGGCCAAGCATCTCCCCAGCTGTGGGCTCCAGATCTCCTTTGGACTCCACTTCCCTGCGCGAGGCGCTGCGCGGCTCCTGAAGCCGCTCTTGGCGCTAAGGCAGAGGTCCACTGGGGCTTGGCTCAGGTCCGGGCAGTCTGCAGTGGGGCGCAGTGGTTTGAGGGTCAGCAGCCCAGCCAGCGCCTCTGCATGGGTCCCCCAACATCAACCCCCTGGGTGCAGGTTTCCCCCACCACCCGGTTGCCACATTGCTATTCTGTCTACATCAGCTTCGGTTCCTGACCACAGCGCCAGTGAGTGCACACATAGTTCCATTCATTCCCCCACGACACGCCCAAACTTCTCCTGGCCGACCAGTTTCCCTAATCCCCGTCGTATTTCTGCCCAGGGAGCGGCTGATGGAAGCACAGACGTCCTGGAACCTGGAGCAACCCAACGTGTTCTGCCAAATCTCTCTTGTGTCCTGGTTTTCGAGGGACGGGGGAAGGGATAGAGACAGATCGGAGTCCTCACCCGCTTGTCTTCTGCTTGGGCAGAAAAGGATTACTGATTCCAGGCTACAGGGGAGCAGAAGGAGACCACAGTGAAAATCGATGGATGACCCTGCTTTCTGAGCCCCAGATTCCTGAGATTCATCGCCTCTTTGATCACCTACACACGAAATTGTAGCTCCTACGATTTTGTGTGTGGATGACAATTTCCATGTTGCTTTCAGAGGCTGCGATTTTACACACACACTGCGCAAACTCAGAATATGTGAAGTACTTAAAATAATAATAATAATAATAATAATAATACTTTTGAGAGAAGGGAAGATCCAGGAGAAAAATGGCACACACAGCCCAACGGGAGAGTTAAACCCGAATAAATGGGTCTAAGGTGTAAGTGCCCTCAAGACGCATTTACAACCGGATGAATAGTTCATTTGAAATTATAATACATCAGGATTATGAAGGGGCGTTTGGCGTCCAAGAACGCACACAATTACTTGGGAGTAAATCTCACTGAACCCGAAGATCAGGCTGTCGGATTGGTATCTCGTAGGTTCTGGTGTGAAGACAACGAAAAGCCCCATTGATTTAAGTGGAGGGTCGATTGTGCGGCCATAGAATCATAGAACTGTAGTGTTGGAAGGGACCCCATGCAATGCAGGAATCTCAGCTAGAGGAGTCTCAGACAGATGGCCACCCATCCTCTGCTTGTGTGGTTTTTAACCAGGTGGCACTTATTCCTCAAGGCGAGCGGAGAAGTTTCTGCTGAAACGAAGCGGCTCTCGCGCCTGGTTCGGCGGCTCCCTCGCTTTCGCGCGCAGAGACCATTTCTAGTAGCACGATGCCACCTATGGAATGTACCTGGAATTATTCTTTACCACGCAGCACACATAGCACGAGACATCCTCCTGCCCCACTTCGGAAATATCCCGGGAGGGAGGTGCGTTTTGGGAATGAGAGGCTGTCACAAAAAGAGCAGCTTCAGAAACTGCAACAGCAAAAAAGAGGAGTAGCAGAAAACGTGGAGGTAGCCGTGTTGGCTGCTGAAAAAATGCGGGAGATCATCTAAGACCTCTGTTGGGCTAATAAAAATGCTACGAAATAGCGCGCGAGGCGCCGAAGAGCCCCGGAAAACTCGAAAGCTTGCGCGTTGTTTTGTGACATTTGGGCACGTAATGAAGGTGTTGCCCTAATGTGGCTTTTGAACCAACAGTGGTTCTTGCTTGTTTAGACCAGCATGGATCTCTAAGCAGTGCATAAACTTACTGTAGCCTGTTAAAATAATAGTTTCCTTTAAAGGAGGTGAAGTTTGCATAAATGATACGCTCCAAAATCTGCTTTCAGTATCAGAGCAGGTTCCTGACATCAAAGCTAGTGCTGGAGTCCTGGCTGGCATCTGACTAAAGGTTCCTCTGAGCACACACAGAGGACATTTTCTCCATCTCTGAGATATCACAGCCTCAGGAATTATGTACCGACTTGAGATGAGTGAACAAGGCTTTCAAGGCTGGTAGCGGAGTTTCCAGGTAGACTTTCTTTTCAGGCACCTCTCTTTTTGGAGCAAACGCGATCAGTACCTGAAGGGGTCTAAAGTGACGTCCTCGCAGAAAATAGACTGTGCTCAAAACACTGGGGCTGCCGGCAGACCTCTAGAATCCAGCGGTTTGCAGGTGTACCCGGGTTCGAATAATTTCATTAATTCTGAGTCAGGGTTTTTCTTTTGTCAGGGCGGGGCAACTCGTTCTAGAGGGTGCGAGTAGCGTTACCCAAACCCAACAATTGTCCTTCGGAAAGCAGAGGGATAGCCTTGGCTGTGTAAAACACACATCTTTGTTCCGCTCAACCGAGGGAGGTAAAGCAAGTAGGACCGGAATACTCGGAGTGGCCACAAGCTGCAAACCACAAATGCGGTTTCCGACCAGGAGCGCAGGACTCTTTCAGGAATGCAAGAGGTTGGATTAAATGACCTTTGTGATCTCTTCCAACTTTACAATTATTCCATTATTCTATTATTTCAGGGGCAGTCACCCTCGCATCCCTGGAAGGATGAGCTTTCGGGGCACACACACCCCAACTCCCACCTCACTGTTCCCGAGCTAGGACGGAGTTGACCCGGAAACCGGGTCCAGGATTCTCCCAGCTGATTCCTGATTATGGGTCCTCTGAGAAACACCGATATTCGAAAGAAGGTCCTCGTTGCACTGAAATTGAATCTGCCCCAGTGTGCAAAGGACTGGAAGCTAAGCGCCTTGCGGGAATTGCTTTGGATTTCTTCAGTCACTTCCCTGGAAATCAGTTCTTGAAAATAATTGGAAAGTCGGTCCTTTCCTTTCCTCCTACAACCCAGAGACGAGAACACACACACACAGAGAGAGAGAGAGAGCGTCAGAAAAAATCAATTATCTTTCTCCTGTCCTAGTTACAATTTACTGAGGGCTTTTGTGAATATCGAAGCTGAAGTGAACCGTCTCTTCTACGTCTTTGTCCCCCCTCGCTTCCCCGAAGCACACACAGCTCCACGCACCACCAGGCTCCCTTTGTTGTGGCCTGGGCGATTTCCGAAGGCGAGTCTGAATCAAAAGTCTGCAGAAGATCAAAGTCCTCAACAGGCAGCGGAAGTTCGACCGAGGTCCAGGAAACGCCCGCTTGCCTTTGAAAGAATCCCTGGCACGTCGAGAAGTCGTTTTTCCTGGCTGCGTAGGCGACCTTTCAGGAAAGTCTCTCTCCCCCCCCCCCCCCAGCCTCTTTCCAGTTAGCGAGTTCGGGCTTGCAGCTGTGCAGTGCGATCCCACGCGGGTCTGCTCAGAACGAAGCCCTATTGAGTTCAGCGGGCTGTGTGCAACGGTGGATTTGCGCAAGTCCAGCGGAGATCCGCATGTAATTTTCGCAGATTTCGCTGCCGCTACTTACACCCCATAATGTTCCGGAGGTGTCACCCGCCCCTCAGGAGGGTGTTTGCGGTCCGTGGAGGGGAGGGGGGCCCTGTAAGGACTTGCAGGAGAGTAAGCACTTTCCACTAGTGAAAAGCCGGAACGAGAGGCCAGTTCCGCAGCCCAAAATGTCGTCACTTTATGCGAATAAAAGATCACATTTGAGATCTACGCAACACTCACCAACCTGTTGTTGTTGTTGAAGCAGCAGCAGCAGCAGCAGCAGCGGGACTTAGGAATTAATGATCAGAGATTTTCTTAAAAACCTTACCGCTTTTTCTGATGTACCTATCGACTATACAGCGACATGCATAGTATTGAGAGGTTGCTAGAGAATGGAGTTAGGGACGCTCTTTAGAAGCGAATCCGGACCCCCACCCCAATGGAAAGAAGACAGTTCATTCAAAAACAGTAGATGGTGGTGGTTTTGCTTTTTGTTATTCCTCCTCCGGTAGGCACTTCCAGCTTAAACGTGGCAAAAGATAGCGAAGTCTGTGGCACGTCAGAGCCTACTATCTTTGTGGATGGCACCAACTCAGGGGAAGGACTGTAGCTCAGTGGTAGAGCGTCAACGTTGCATACAGAAGGTCCCAGGTTCAAGTCCCCAACATCTCTGAGGGATAGTTCAGTTGGTAGAACGTGAGACTCTTAATCTCAGGGTCGTTGGTTGGTGCCCCACTGCATTGCAGGGGTTGGACTAGATGACCCTTGTGGTCTCTTCCAACTCTGCAAATCTGTGATCTCCAGATCGGCCCGGGAATGCCCCTGTCTGGAGAACCACTGCTGGCCAGCATAGTCAATACAGAACCAGCAGGACCAATGATCTGATTCAGGATACGGAAGCTTTCTGTGTTCCTAGTTAGGTGAGTTAGGCTGAAAGGCAGTGATTGCTCCAAGATTTTGCAGTGAGTTTTATGGCCTCAGTCCAGCACTGGCTGTGATGGGTCGGTTAAGGCTGCAATCTCTTCTACCCTAAACATGCTTACTTCCAATGGAATTTATTCCCGTTGCGGCGAGGAAACGGTTAATCCGCGCCGTTCAAATCTCACTTTAGCCTTGCCCATAGGAGCCAACTCCTATGGTCCCTTGTCCCCCAATTAAATATTTTAGGGGGCCGGTTCCCTCAAAAATTATGGGGAATTCCCATTCAAATGCTGTTTGTGTGCCACATCATGTGATCGATTATGTTGGGCAGGGCTTATCTGCCCCCCCCCCCAATATTTGATTCAAGTTGGCACCCCTGGCCTTGATCTCGCAACTGCAAGGGAATATGCTCCACTGAACGCAGCGGGGCTTACTTGTAAGTAAAGATATGAAGAGGATCCAGGTTGTGACCTGAGGCAAGCTACGTTTCCAGACTGGAGCATTATAAAAATCACATTCGTCTATTTTACAGGGTTGTTAGGAGATTATTGAGACCGGGTACAGGTGAGGCGCTTGAAGTTACCTAAGGAAGTGCCAAGTATTGGGGATGCGGCACAGCCCCACAGTCTGATGCACGCAAGTCAGGAAGGAACAGCGACTCCAGTCGAATTGGAATCCTTGCAGCCGACAGGAAGGCGAGAGCTCTGAGTTTGGCCTGGTCCGGCAGCATCCTTCGCCTGTTTGCTCCAAGGGCCGGTGGCAGGTCATGTGACTTCTGGCCTCTGCCAGTGCACGCAGTTCTAAGACCCAGCAGAAAGTCACAGGACACCCGACCCCTGTGCAAGCAACAACAACAACCAGGCCCCAGCTGGACGAGAGATGCCTCTTGAGTGAGAGATGCCTCACTTTCGCCACCCAGCATCGTTAAACTGCTCGCTGCTTGACCTTTTCCACTCTCTCCTTTCGTCCTTTCACTTTGTAAGTCTGCGTCTGTAATGGAAGCGAACTGCTTTCGGAGGGAGTACAGCAGTCTGGAAAGCGAGATTAAAATCACACACACACACACACACACACACAGAGAGAGAGAGAGAGAGAGAGAGAGAGAGAGAGTGGGTTCCAGCAGTTAGGAGGGAGACATGATCAAGGATGGTTAATATCTCCAGGAAAGTCCTCTTTTCTATGGAACATCATTGCCTTGATTTCGGTAAAGATTCAACGCGTCTGTGTATTTGCAGTTGCGTGGAAAACTTTGTTAGTGCTCTGTCTACGTTTATGTTTGTTTTATTTATTATCTGTTATAGTTGCTGGAAAATGTATCTCTCTAGAAAGAGTGATTTCTGCCTGCTTTTCTGGTGCTTAGCTCTTTGCAGGAGAAGGCCAAGTCAGGGCCAGGTTCCTTTGCATGCCCAGAATCCAGCCCCTGTTCTTATTCTTATTCTTCTTAATAAAATTTGTATACCGCCTTTCATCCGTAGATCTCAAGGCGGTTCACGTGTTTCTGCTCTCTACGAAGACCATTCGCCTTGCACTGATGCAGTTACGATATTGCAACGCCTGGTACGACTCTGTCCTCACTCCCCACCGCTTGCCGCATCTATGATTTTCCTTTCTGCGCCTGCCCCAGGGGCTGTTGTTGTTCCACATCTTCGGGGGGTCTTTTTGGACGGAATCTGGAATCTGTATAGGATAGCAGACAGCCAGGCCTCAAATCCGTGCCACCACTTGACTGCAGCCTGGAGGGGAGTATCGTACAGCGGGGTGAGGGAGAGTGGAATAGGAGAAGAAATAACCAGCCTGTCCCTATGACTATGCAGAAGGTATGCAGATCCCCTTGCTGTATTAACCAGAACCAGCGTCTACCTCTGAGCTTAGGAGGAAGCCGGGTTTCCCAAAGGCAGGACTTGTTGGTTTCGGTGAATATCAGTTTACCTATCTATATAAGCACTGGACGCCACTAGCAGCCCTTTCCCACCTTCTCTGTGACATCATGGATTCGCCCACCCAGATTTAGTGAAACTTTTGATCAGCCTAACACAGTTTTGAATACCTCTCAAATGCAATACATTTCCCTCACCTCAAAGAACCCTGGGAACTGAAGTTTGCTAAGGTTGCTGGGAATTGTAGTTCTGTGAGGGGTTAACTACAATGCCCAGGAATCTTTTGTGGTAGTGGGAATGTGCTTCAAATTGTGATGGTGTGTAGGCACTGGCAGTCAGAGCCTAGCCTTGTGAGAAAGAGAAAAGGAATCGCTCTTGGTCCTTTCTCTCTCTCTCATTAGAAAGAAAAGCCCCAGGACCGGTTCAACGGCAGACAAAAGTGATTTTGTGGGAGGCAACGCGATGATCTGTGCCAAGCCTGGAACAGGTGGAGCAACCAGTTAACATGGGAGAAATGAACCACTTCCTTGGGCAGAGAAGGGTATGATTTTCTGAATCTCCCCTTGACCTTCCCCAGAGAAGTGGTTCCAGACTTCCCTTAGTGCTCGAACCTGCTGTCAGAATCAGGATTTAACAGTATCCATGAAGCACAGAGGGAATTGTTATTGCAGAGCACACCCAACCCCCCTCCCTCTCTAAATGGCACCCGTGAGAAAGGGTGCCACCCTCGAGCATGTCCTGAGTTCCTTCCAAGAGCCGCTGAGGAACCTCACACAACATGCAAGACAAGTGAGACTAGCAGCCATTTTCAGGCTTGCCATTTCTCCTCCGATGTCCGGACTCCCGTGCCAATGATCAGCGACGTAACATAGAAATCCAACAGGTAATGCTTTCAGATATTCAGATGTAGCGACCGGATTGTGGGGGCGGGGTGATGACAGCCAGACACCTTTGACTTCCGGGCACCTTTATTTTGTAGGGACAGGTCACTGGGGCTGTCCTAACACGACCTGCAGAAGCTGCTCCCTTCCTACTTTGTGTCAATTAATCCTGAATATCGATGGTTACCAGGCGGTTTGGGTGGGCTGTTAAAAAGATGTTGCTTAATGCGGACTAGTTACTTTGCAAGTCTTTTCCGAGTGTCCCCACCCCACCTCCCGCGTCTTGAGCCCCTGCTTTCCGCTTTCGAAGCAAGAAAGGGACTCCAACCAACCACACGACCGTTGGTGGTTTCCTGCTTAACAGAAAGCTAGGGAGCGGATGCAGTTTTTTGAGGACGGGCGCAGCCCCAAAACAAGGGTGGGGGGTAGATCTCCGACAGGCTTGGAAAGGGGGAGAAGGAAATCGGCTACAGCTGTGCTCTTCAGAGTGCTGACAGGACTAAGAATGAAACACACACCACTTCCGGCAGTAGTCTTGTGGTGACATCTCCTTTCGCAGGTAAGAGCGCACAGCCCCGTCAGCGTCTGCACACGTGTCACTCTCTCTGCAAACCGTGGAACTTAGGCAGCGTGACAGACTATATATAAAAAAGTTGGAAAGTGGGCAGAGCGAAGGGTGAAATAACTATTTGCTCATAACCTCAAATCTCCCCCTCTCTCGCCCTTCTCTGTGCATATCAGCCTCCGGAGCGCTTGTTATCGGAAAGAGGAAGCACCTGAAATCCACGGATCTCGTAAATATTGAGGGTGAAGAGAACAAAAAGCAGCTCAAGAAGTTCGGGAAGACTGGGGTTCACAAGCAAATTCAAACGGAGTGCGAGAACTTCAGGGGAAAACGGCCTGGATTAGGCGGGCTTTGTGGACTGGGCTCTTCTGAGCGTCTGTTTTGAGGTTGTTACTTGGTTTTAAATAAGGGAACGTAGAGTCGTTTGCAGCTTCTGATCCTGGCACGCAAACAGAACAGGGGTGTTCACTGCGATTCCATCCCCACCCCACCCCCGCTCCCCAAAACTCCCCGAAAGATTTCCCCTAGCTAAATGATAAGCGGGAGATGGAGGGCGCAGACCGTTTGTACAGAACACAATGCACGCATTTTAGATTAATTAAAATAGTATTGGTGGGTGAAGGGTTATATGGATTACGTTATGGTCGGAGATAACAGCTGTCCAGGTCTCTCTCCCTCCTCCCGTCCCAGTGCTGTGTGTTAACTGAGATTTGCCACTAGGAACGGTTCCTTCAAAGAGCAGCTGAATCCACGCCCCCGCCGCCGCCGCCGCCGCCACCACCACCAGCACCTTTTGCCTCCACAAGACCAAATAGGAAGCTGTTCGATTAGATTCCTCAGCCAGGTACAATATGGCGCAGTTATCTGTTGCCTTTGAAAGTGGAATGTCTCTTGCCTAGAAAGGAAGAGATGGGGTAGGTGGGAGTAATGTTTGTTCTGGCCTGCTTGGGATTGGGAAGTTTCTCTCCTTGCATTTATCAGTGCTAGGTGTGTGTCTGTAGGCAGATGATGCTTGATAAACTAGATTGTCTCTCCAACTTCCCCCAAGGACATGGGCGCGGTCAAGGGGGGTTCAAGTAAAACAATGGCAATACTTAACTACGGTAACTGACCAATCACGCCGGTTCCGCCCCTCCTACAGAAGTCCTGACCCCCTAACAAAGTAGCCTTACAAAAATTCTGGCTACTCCCAGGCCCAAGGATTTCCATTGCAGGGTGTTTGCCCCACCCCGCGGCGAGAGATGGGCACGAGCATTTTCCTGCGTTTCTTTTAGCAAGAGACTGGGGCTCTTGATTTCACAGTCCAAGCCATATGCATTTGGGCTTTTGTATACACAAGACAGGGACATGGCACGAGCTTCTGCACGGAGCTATGGCCCTTCCCGCTGGTCAAGATAGTTTCACAGGATGGTTTCTCCCTTCTAATGCGCCCCATTTGACTGAAGGTTGGAATCAGAGGACTCCAATTCAATTCGTATCCCCCAAAACAATGCAGA